GTAGGTAGGTAGGTAGGTAGGTAGGTAGGTAGGTAGGTAGGTAGGTAGGTAGGTGGGTGGGTAAGATATCATCACCTCATGGAGGGGGGCGATGATAACTTCCTCAATGGCTCAAGGGGGTGTTTCTTTCAAAAAGGTTAAGAACCACTGGTATAAATAGTTAGAGGTGAACAGGCAGATAATACAGTACATGAGTACAGATAAATAATACAGATGGGGGGAAATTACACAGTCTTGACTTAGGTGGATACAAATGGACAGATAGATAATATATGGGTACAGATATATCAGGCAAAATCCAAGGAAAACAAAGCAAAAGAAAAGGTGGCACCTTAAAGTCTAACTATTATATTATAATATGAGCTTTTGGGGACACGTCCACTTCGTCAGACATTAAGAGACAGGATGAGATGCTGAATGAAATATCTTGCACAGTTCTTCTTCTAAACCTACTTATAGGTGCAGAGGGACAGGTAAACCATACATACACAAAAGGACAGGCAGACAGTATACAGACACTCCTGCCGCGGGAGAGGAGGAGGAGGAATAATAATAATCTTAGAATGGGGACCGTATGGATCATCATGTCCGGCCCCTGTCAAGGAAGCACCTTGGGGAATCGAACTCCCAACCTCTGGCTCCACTATCTGGCAGGTGTACGGTAAAGATGCATAAAGCCAGCTAAATAATACAAATACACATTGATAGCTATCACATATATAGACTGACAGGTAGACCATAGATGGATCCAGGCGGACAGGTTCATAATAAATAGAGACCCATGGATGTAGGTGGACAAAGAATGACAGGCAGATACTATATTGGTATAGAGCAGGTAAACCATAAACAGAGACCGACGGACAGGAAGACAATAGAGGGATACAAACAGGTTGATAGATCCAAGTAAGATACTTCTATAGATATAGATGGGCAGGTAATTGATAAATAGAAAGCAATGGGCAGGTAATAGACAGAGAAGCAGACGGATCCAGGCGGACAGGTAGATACTCATATATAGATGGGCAGGTAATTAATAGAAACCCATGAGCAGGTAATGGACAGAGAGGCAGACGGATGCAGGCGGACAGGTAGATACTTCTATATAGATGGGCAGGTGGATGGATACAGAATGACCGGTAGACAACAAATAAGATACAAACTGATGGACCCAGGTGGGCAGGTCAATAATAAATGGAGGCCCCTGGGCAGGGAGGTAGAGAAAGAAGGACAGGTAGAGCTCTATTGGGGTAGAGGAAGCAGGTGGGGGGGGGGGGGGGGGAGGAGACCCAGGGACAGGAAGACCAGAGAGAGATCCGAGTCAGACGGACCCAGATCGGGATTTCTCTAAAATCGAGAGGAGCAGGTCGAGAATAAAGAGATAATAATAAAAACAATAGACAGGTGACAAGACGACAGGTGGGTGATGGAGAGGTCGATCCTTCTCCAGGTAAGGCCGGACAGGTGAAGGACATCAGCCGCCGCCGCCCCCTTTTCCCGTCCCCAGAAGAACAACCCGACTCCCCCCCCAACTTGGGCAGGCAGATGATAACACCGGTAGAGCCCCAGGGGTGGGATAGAGAGAGGTGGGGGTGGGAAGGGAGGCCAAGGCCAGGGAGGGGGCACCCCCTCCCTCCCTGAGCGCCTTCCGCCATCATCTCCACCATCCTCCTCGCTTCCTTTCCCCCCCCGTCCCCCCAACACCCACACCCACACACCCACCGGTGGGCCGGGATGCGCTGGGCGCCAGCCCGCCCTTTGCCGACCAGGAAATGGACGTCGCTGAGGACCTCGTTGTTGAAGAGGAAGGCGAAGCGCTCCTGCACCGTCGGCTTCGTGGCCTGCCAGTTGTAGGCCGGCTCCCGGTGGGGCGGCGGCGGCGGAGCAGGAGGAGGCGCCGGCGGGGGGGAAGCCGAAGAAGAAGGAGGAGGAGGAAGAGGAGGAGGCCCCGCCGACCCCGGCGTGGTCGTGGCCGTCGCCCCCGGGCCGGGCAAAGGGTTGGCCCGGGCGTTGTGGGTCGGAGAAGCCGGAGGAGGAGGAAGAGGCGCCTGAGGGGAAAAGGAGGCTCCTGAGGGAGAAGAAGGGGGAGGGGGAGGAGGGAGAAGAAGAGGAAGCCGCGCCGCCTGAGGCGAAGCAGGAGGG